CCACAATCAGTACGTTTCTCTTCACCTTAAACTTAACAACTTTTATAATACATGCTATAAATCACAGCGATTCACAATCTTGATGATTTCGCTCTTGACGAGTGCAAAACACACACTTTACGGCACACTAGCCCGAAAGTAACAGAATCATAAATTACACGGAACTCAAATTAACTACATTTATCTCTTCATTCACCGCTGCTGGCTTCTTTCTGCCAAGCTCATTTTCTAACAAAGAGGGCATCTCGAACACACTCGGACTCCCCCGATCATTCGAGAAACTCATCCCGCACGCTACCAGCGCCAACGCGCCAGCAGCGTCACGTGACTTCCGCTGTCGTAACAATATTAAAATACTGTCAAAAATGTTCAAAAGGTCTAAATATAGGTCGTAGAATAACATTATAATTATTTATGATGTCATAAAAACTCGTAGGTTCAAGAAGTCTTAATATAAAACAATAAAAACCCTATAACCCGAACACTTTCGAAAGGTATTGATGGTATTAAGTACAGTAAATTTAGCCCCTAGTCTAAACTAAAGTAAAAACATATAAAAGTTACAGTGTTAAAATACCACTTTATCGAATATAGGCCTTACATAATAAAGGTTTAACTAAATGTTAGTCCTAAGACAAGTGGACTTATTGATTTTGGTGTCTGCGATTAGAATTTTTTTTTGTATTATTCTAGAAATTCTGTATATATAGAAGTACCGTTGCAATAAAGATAATATTTTGACAGCAAATGTTATGTGGGTTTTTGCTAGTCTTTCAATATTCATGATTCCTCTTTTTAAAATTTAAGTCAATAACAAGTAGTTACAAAAATGTTTTGGAAGAACTTAAGGCATGAATTATAATTTATTATATAGGCAGGTTTTATTCCTAGTTTCACTGGGGTAATTAGTTTATAAAATTAGCAAATAAAGCAAGCGTTTTTAACTACGGGCAGAAAACTGCAATTGGCTCGTCTGTTGTTTAAAATCTTTATCTTAATACCTTAGCACTTTACGGTATGTTGAATTTGTTTGTTTGTTGAATTTTCGCATGAAGCTATTCGAGGGCTGTCTGCGTTAGCCATCTCTGATTTTGAAGTAATAGACTAGAGAGAAAGTAATTAGTTAACACCACCCACCGCCAACTTTTGGACTACTCTTCACCAAACAAAAGGTGACACTGACCGTCACATTATAATGCACCCATGGCTGAGAGGGAGAAAGATTCGGAGAATGGATTCGAGCCCATGAACCACATATTGCGAGTCGAGCGCCCTCTGTATGCAAGAATATGTTTTATTTGTTATTTATTTTTTACTTATATAAGTTTACACAGTTTTTGTTTTGTTTGTAATCAAACTCAAAGCTACACAATGGCCTAACTGTGCTTTGCCCACCACGGGTATCGAAACCCGGTTTCTATCGTTATAAGTCCGCAGACATATTGCTATGCCACTGGGGGGGGGGCTAGTTTACACAGATTACAGTAATAAAAAATAGAAGATAAAATATATTTTCAAACTTGACAGTTTTAATATTATCTCTCACCAACACAGTTCATTTCTACTTACAATTACTTTGACTACCCCATTCTCTGTTACTACTTTGGTTGCTCCAGGAGGTCCAGGAGGTCCTTGAGGACCAGGTTTTCCATTCAAACCCACAGGTCCAGATTCTCCAGGAAATCCCCTTGGTCCTGGTTCACCCTGAGAATGTAAGAGTTAAAAGTGTAGAAGTAATTAACAAATTAGAGAACTAGATGCTTCTTTGTTAGTTATTGCATAGTAAACAAAATTTTAATTAACTTATTGCGTATATCTAAAATGAATATTAATTATAATGAACATTAATCTAAAGTCAGTAGCTGAAAACTTTGCAATAAATGACGAGCTATTAGAAGTATACACACTAAAGGGAGGTTAGTATGTTGTATTAAAACTATTTTGAATATTCGAATCAGTAAGTCACATGACAATCACAGCCGATATAAAGTTATAGTGTATCGGCATGTAGTAAAACTACATTTTCATATTGATTAGCTTTTGTAGGTGGCGTGATTCTAGAGAAAATGGATATCTTTTGAGAAGGGTATATAAAACAGCATTTTCTTATGCAAAATATTCATACACTTAGATCGGGAATTTAGAATTTATAAGTCTGCTATCTCTCTTGTTCTTAATGTAGATCAACTTGGTGGTCCTGTAGTTACAAGACCACCCAGAAAGAGACCTGTACCCCAGCTGTAGTAAGCAAAATGTGGCATCTTGTAACAGATGAGAATCCATGAACACAAAGGTCAGTAGCAAATGCAGTCCTCGTGTTCCAGGCAATAGTACACGACATTATCAAGAAGAATATCTGTCTGGAAAAGTGACACAAGTTACATATACACAAGTTATTTTTACAATACATTCGCTCAACCATCGCATACTCCAAGCAGCTTAAGAATGAAAAAGGTATTCATGCTATTCTATACAAAAATATACCGATCAAATCGCAGTATGAAGTGCCTACGGATTTCTGTGCGATCGGATTGTTGAAAAGAGCACTATAAAACCGTCGTTCTCACACACTAGATGAATTGTGGAAAGCACAGGGGTAGGTATATGTGCTTTGGACCTCTGTCTCGAAACGAGGCCAACAGGGTATTGGTTCACTAAGATAAGGCTTACAGTCATATCTCCCATTCAACCATCATATATATCAAGCAACTGGAGAACGAAACTAGTATTCATGCTATTCAATACGAATACATACTGGTCAAGTCATCAGACAGAGTGTCTGTGGATTTTTGTGTGATTGAACAGTTTAAATGGGCACTGAGAAACTGTTGTCTTAACTGGTGGCTAACAGTAATCTGCCAGGAGGAGGAGTGTGCTTTGGACATGACAAGCCTTACGACATAGTCTTTTGCAATGGAAACTATGAAGCAGAGTAATTAAATATAAGATGCACTGTCGTCAGATAAAGCATGACTAGAAAGCAGCATGGACTGTAACGACAAGTGAGGCTCCAAAATCGTTTAAATATAATGTACAAACCTCTGTACATTGGACTTCTTTGAACAAGCAGTGTTATACATAATAAATATTTGCAAGTATATAGTTTATTAAATTATAATTATAAATTACAATGTAATAAATCATAAATCTTTAGAATTATAAAGACCAATAAATGTTTAATTTTTTGTGCAGACCAACTAATACTAATAAAGATGAGCGTTCAACAGAAGTATTGTAGTAGACGATATTTTTAATGTTTTAATTTAGATTTGTTGTATTATTTGATAGATAAGTTTTGGCAAGTTGTAGTTATGACACGTGATGTCTACACGTCTTCGGAGTGTATATAAGTCAAATATTTGGATAAATAAAAAATGAAAAAAATGAAAAAAATGAGCGAGTCAGAAAAAGTAATCAGTGAATTGGTCAGTTAGTGAGACAGCGAGTCAGTCCTTGAGCTTTGAGCTGATTAGTTAATAATTCTGTTAACATGTAATCGACCGATTAATGAGTGTGCCAGCCAGTGTTGAGTTGTGTCAAAGATATGAAAGGTAATTAAAGATTAATGTTTAATCCTATTTGTGAGTTAGGCCTATCAACAAAAGTAGCACCTATAATTTCTACGTTATGGTTGAAGAAATAAATTACTTTCACTGGATTAGACTGAACCGAATGACAATAAAAAAACGCCAATGAAAGAATTGTTTGTTTGTTTTGAATTTCGCCCAAAGCTACAAGAGGGCTATCTGCGCTAGCCGTCCCTAATTTAGCAGTGTAAGACTAGAGGGAAGGCAGCTAGTCATCACCACCCACTGCCAACTCTTGGGCTACTCTTTTACCAACGAATAGTGGAATTGACCGATATTTATAACGCCCCCACGGCTGAAAGGATGAGCATGTTTGGTGTGACGGGGATTCGAACCCGCGACCCGCAGATTGCGAGTCGAGCACCCTAACCAATGAAAGAAACCATTAGAACACATATCAGAAGTGGGATTCTTTTGGTAAAAATAAAATATATTCTAAACTAATTACCTTCAAAAGGACAACACGTGCTTGAAGTAAGATCAAAAATTTGCTAGAGATGGTGAAAATTAAAATAATATTAAGAGGTAAGAGACGAGAAATTAAGTGATGAATCAGAAGAAAGAGACATAAGACTTGAAAAACAGTAGAAAGAAAAATAAATTTGATTGAAGACGCGATCGAAGAAGCTACTGGAAATATACAGAAAGATTATAATAGCAAAACCGAAGTAATACAAAAGGACATCAGTGAAGTACAAAAAATACATCTATGAAGTACAGAAAGTTTGTCGTAGCAAAATTGATGGAGTTCAGAAAGATTATAACAACAAATTCAACGAGGTAGAAATGAACATCAATGACAAAATACAAAAGCTGGAAAATGAATACTTAAATTTCACTGACAGACCAGCCACACCTCTCTCCACACCTGTCCTATAAATTCAATCCCAAACATCATTAACTATGAAATATGGAAGAAGAGATCGCATTTGGTCCATACTGATCACTTCTAGAGCTGTGTCCTGATGACTCCAGAATATTCCTGGACTATCTAGCTATGTCACTATCTTAAAAACGTATGCAATCTGGTAGCTCAGTTCAATAACATAGCCCAATCGAGAAATTAACAGACTGTGAGAAAAAGGTACCATGGAAGGAATATCATATGCAGTCCAAAATCATTTCCAGAGTGGATGGATGGAATAGTGTAAAACAAAGCTAATCACTTGCTGTCTATTTAAAAGCATTATCGTTGACAACACTAATTAATTTTCCAACCAATCTAGAACATAAAGACTTGCCCAGTTATCTTATGCGGATGATAGTTACCGGTATATATACATGTCACAGTTAAGGGGGACATGCAAATTAGGTTTAAAAAAGCATTGTCGGTGTACATCGATAAAGGTAGCTATCCAGTCTGAAAGCAGTGTCGGTGTACATCGATAAAGGAAGCTATCCAGTCTGAAAGCAATGTTGGTGTACATCGATAAAGGAAGCTATCCAGTCTGAAAGCAATGTCGGTGTACATCGATAAAGGAAACTATCCAGTCTGAAAGCAACGTCGGTGTACATCGATAAAGGAAGCTATCCAGTCTGAAAGCAACGTCGGTGTACATCAATAAAGGAAGCTATCCAATCCGTAGTGAACTTGAATCGATTACCCCGCAGATAAACAAATAATGGTATCACACGTCATCACATGCCAAAACTCCCTCTAACAAACAATACAAAATATTTAAATTAAAGTTTTAAAAACATAGCCTACAACAATATTAAAGAACTTTTACAAGATCCTGGTCATCAAGTGTTTGAATAACAAATTTACATCAGCAACATATATTATGTATTCTTCCAAGCATTGCAATTTTTGTTCAAACAAAATCACATTTACTTTCTGTTCTGATATTTACTACTATTAATAATTAAAAGTATTATTGAAAAGACAGGAAAATAAACAAATAGATAAAATATACACAACATTAATATGTAGATGAATAATTGTTTGGTTCGTAGAATAAAAACGTACGGCACAAGCAGGTCAACTGTGTATATACAGATACCTTTAATCCAAATAGGCCAGGCAGTCCAGGTTGTCCAGGAGATCCAGGTTCTCCAGTTACTCCTGGCTCTCCTTTATCTCCCTAGTACAGATAAAATAAAACTTTAACTTAACTAAAATCTTTGATTTATGTTACAGAGTATAAACTTGCTATTTGTATTTAAAAAGTATAATTAGAAAATTTGTAGCTTATTCTTCTAACAAAATTAGAGTAATAAACATATATATATATATATATTAATGAATATTCATCATGATTCCTCTTGTACACTTTGAAAGCTGTTAAACAATTTAAAAACAAGCACTAACAAAACCGTATTAGCCTCCTGCTATGCATTACTTACCTTTTCCAACATACTTTAAAATAAGTATTAGGAAATATTACGCATCTTAAGCTGTACATAACCTTCCTTTGAAACAGAATAATTTCAAAACATGACCCTTTTCCTAAAAATTTTGAAAACGTAATTTTGTTATTTCAGTATTGTAACAAAAATACTCTGTCTTTTCTATAAAAAAAAAGATCTATAGCAGATAGGTACATATTTAAGTATAAAGCCATTTTGTTTCAAATACAGTAACACTTAATTGTAATTTTCAAATAAATGGGACTTATTAACTCTGAAATTTGGAAAACTAACCTTTGGACCCACTGGCCCAACAATAGATGAATATTCACCCTTAGAGAAACTAAGTCCAGGTAATCCAGGAAGCCCAATTCCTGGCGGCCCTGCATCTCCCTAGAAAAAGCAGGTTGATTAAAAAAATTGAGTTTTGTTTTTAACCACTAGAAGACACGACTTACAAGCTACAGAAACGTGTACTTAAAAGTTAGCCAGTAAACCTTCTATTTCTAGCTTCAAAAACGGTTTCTTACTTATCAAATATCAATTAATATTAACTTGAAATCAGCATAATGAGTATAGCTAATTAATTGTACTTTTCTTATGTTCTTACTTATGAAGATTAAAATGCATTGTTTCTTCAGTTGGGTACCCTCCCTATTAACAACAATTTTTGTGGTAAACCTAATACTATCTCATGAGGTTCGGATTAGGTTCGTCCTAAATCCATACACTAAGTTTTCAAAGCAAAATAATTACCATAATAAAAAAGGGTGTATATAAAACGTTCTAACAAATACCGTTAATGAAAGTAGCATTTAAGAAAGAATAGAGCTTGCTGAATCGCCAGTTCATCTGAATCATGAGTAAAATTAATTAAAAAATAAAAATCAATGATAATAATAAGTAATAGGTGTTAAAGCTAATGAATAAAATAATGTTATTAAACCTTACCCTAATTCTGATTTATATGTGGCTTTAAATAAATTTGACAAAAATTACACTTCAACAAATTAATCTAGTTCACACCATACAGTTGTTGTTCATGCAATTTGATGATATAAATAACACCTCAACTAATACTCTCCCTGTCATATCCTGGCCGGCTGGATGAGTCATTGGGCATGGGATATACCAGAGATTCTATAGTTCAAATATAGCTATACATTTTTCTTTACTTTCACTTATAAATTCTTAGAATTTGTTACGGAACACGAACGTTAGTTGTCAGCTTCAATTACGTTGTATAAATAACACAAATAAAACAACTTCAATCGTATAAAGTACAGCAAATTTATTTGGTCTTTACTACATTCTTAATTATTTTCTCAACTATCCACGAAAATTATCTCAATATTTTAATCGACTATATTGGTAAATATATATTATTTATCAATTTTACGCAATTATGAATGCAATAACTTCACAACTAAATACTAAATAAACAGTGCTGTGTTTATACACGGAAGGACAAGGTTACTATACAATTGGTACTGAATACAGTATTACGAAGACAGTCGAAACTAAGTTAATTCTTGTTTATTTCAAAGTAAGATTCAGAGAATAAACTAAACCCGAACTTAAACAGCTGCATATTCACTTTTGCTACACCCTGTATGTAGTTGCAAAGCAACGAATGAGGCAATTCTATAGCATAATATAATACTAAATAAACAATACTGTGTTTATAGGAGTGAAGTAGCAACGAATGAGGCAATTCTATAGCTTAATGTTAAATAAACAATGCCGTGTTTTAGATGTTACAGCAACTAATAAGAAAATACTATAGCTTAATGCCAAATAAATAATGCTGTGTTCATAGGCATTATGTTCCGACGGATGAGATAATTCTATTGCTTAACGCTAAATAAACAATGATGTATTTATTGGTGTTACGAAGCAACGAATGAAAAAACAAACTATTGTTTAATGTTAAATAAACAATACTGTGTTTATAGGGGTGAAGTAGCAACGAATAGACAATTCTATAGCTTAATGTTAAATATACAATGCTGTGTTTATAAGCATTATGTAGCGATGAATGAGAGAGTTCTATAGGTAATGTTAAATAAACAATGCTGTGTTTATAAGCATTATGTAGCGTGGAATGAGACAGTTCTATAGGTTAGTGTTAAATAAATAATACTGTGTTTATAAGCATTATGTAGCGATGAATGAGAGAGTTCTGTAGCTTAATGTTAAATAAACAATGCTGTGTTTTAGGTGTTACGTAGCAATGAATGATATACGTCTTAACCTCACTGATACATATAGTGTTGTACGAAGAGGTTTTTGAGTAATAAACAAAGTATATAATTGGCGGCATTACGAGTAAACAGAGTTGTCAGTTTTATAATGGGTTTTCAGTTTCTTATCAATGAAACATGCTAACGCATGTAATAAGTTTTGATAAGTTTTTGTGAATTCGAGAGAAATGGATTTTTCAATCATGCATAATTTATGAATTGTGTTTAGAGTAAACTACACTACTTAATTTCACTGTGTTTCTAACATAAGCAGTTATATCAAATTCATGAATATCGTTACAAAAGTTTAAAAATCACATCTCCTAAAACGCAGTAATATTTATCTATGCAGTACATGTTGAAATAACTGTTCATTTAATCCTTCTATAAATAGTTTAGAATATACCTTTATGGAAGCTATTTAAATAACTTAAAAAATCCATGCACGTAGCCATGACATCATTTTATCTATGTATTCAAAGATAAAATTACGTATTAATCCTTTTGTTAACAATACAATGTTCAATCAGGTAGCTCGTGCAAACATGGAGTCATTTTTGTGCTTGAACCCTAGCATGGGACCTTACCCATTCCATTCTTACCTATAAAAGTTCGCTAGAGTTGGGAGTTTATGTACCTTGAACATATGTATTTGAAGTGGTTGTTGATCCAGGTAAAACTAAAGATTATTGGTATACGGGATACTGCACTAGGGTCTTAGCCTGACAGTAAAAGTGGGTTATTCATATACTATACACTATCTTATGTTGTAGATATACTTAGAAAGCCTTCTATCCTGTTCCAGTAATTATAAATGCACAGCAATATTCTGAATAAAGATATTGTTTTATTTGTTCACTTATGTTACTGTTTTCCCTTGATGGCATAACACTTCTGGAACCTGTGTTTTTGCGGATATTTGATGTCTTGTTTTAAATAATATCACACACACACACATATATAAATATATATATATACCATCACAGGTAAATATACTAATGCATATTGTTTCTGTAAATTTAATATTTATATCCGTGTATTAGAAGGCCTTATTAAATGAATAAAAACGAATTATTATATATAAGTCTCCAGTATCTTTAGGAGTGATAAACTGTATTTGACCTTTTCTCCTTTTTCTCCTTTTTTACCAGGTAGTCCTGCAAAACCTTGAATTCCAGCCTTTCCAGGAACTCCTTGGTTTCCTTTCTCCCCAGGTTCTCCATAAAAACCCTATTAGATTGAGAATCAGGTTGTAATAACTTAAAATACACACTTCCAGCTGGGCTAAAAGGAACTGTCTTGTATGGATGATTGTCACACAGTTTATAAATATCTATTTACAGATATATGTAATCTGACTTCAAAACAAAGCTCAAACTTTATATATATATATATGTTCTTAAACTTTATAAGTTTTCTGGAAAACAATAAAACGAACTGTTAACCAAGTTAAAGAATTTCTATAATTCTGAAAATATGAGACAATGAATTTTACATTGGTAATTACAACTTAAGGTAGTAAAACTACATTGTTAAACATAATATAAAGCAATGAAACATACTGTATATTGCCAATCAGTCAGTAAAACTAATATTGCTAATTGTGTTTTTATGTAATTTTTAAACCTTTCCAGTTAAATCGAAGTTTATTCGTTAATTAATCAATTAATTGCATAATTTCTCATAAACCTAGGTTTGGTTTACAATTACTTCAATACTTATGGTATTAAATCCAGCAAACCTTCTCTCCTTTAGGACCTTGGCTTCCTTGTTCTCCTTTTTCTCCAGGATAACCTTTGTTTCCTCTTGGACCTGGGGGTCCTCTGACTCCTGGAGGACCTTGAATACCCTTAGGACCAGGTTCTCCTGCATGTGACCCAAATATACCATCACCAGAAGCTCCATATGCTCCAGAAGAAAAAGACCCATCCAACTATGAACAATAAAAAACAAAACATATACCATACGATTTCTCTTTGATAGTATATCAGATTATATAGGGTCAATTCTTTTTATACAGTAAATTCTAATTTCTCTCCTATAAACCGAAAAAAATGGTAAATTCATGCATTAATAAATGTAACATGCATCATGCATAATTATTTGAAAACATACAAGACATTTAATACCTGTCCTTTAGAAAAGTTTAAAATATGTTAGAGAAATCTTAAGAGCACTTTCTAATTGAAAAAAGTGACTACTTTCTGAGTTTTTAAAATATTAACAAATGTGTAACAGTTTTGTATAAACTTACTTCAAAAATATTTCTTGGAGATGATGGCAATCCAGGGGGGCCAGGAGGTCCAGGAAAACCTCGAGGTCCAGGTGATCCAGGTAGTCCATCCACACCTGGCTCTCCTTTCTTTCCTTGTATTCCGTTTATTCCAGGGAGTCCTGGTTCACCCTGATATCACATATTGAAATGGAGTGTTAAAAGACAACAAATTAAATTAACGTAAGTAACAACAAAAATATAAGCAATGGTAAAACATAGTCAAAGACAAAGAAGTATGAACACGATGATGACATAACACATAACAATCATGCACATATAAATGAACAGACAATAAATCACCGCTGATAGCATTACAGATGTTACCGCCTGCCCTTTGAATATATGCAGCAGAATAGGGCATCTACTGATGAGTCTAAATAGTGAGTGTACACACAGTTGTTATATATATATATATATATATATGATATATTGTTATAATCTGTGTTTATTCTCAGAAAGTAAAAGACCGTGGATATTTGTCTTAAAACCTATTTACCGTATAGTAGTGTTATATAACTTTAAGGTTTGTTTGTTTGTAATTAAGTACAAAGCTAC